GCCATTCAAAAGCTCAGAGTCAGATTAATATATTTATTGTTTTTGTAAAGAAAGTATAAAAATGTTTTGCTTCTATTTAGCAAGGATGCTTTAAATCAGAGATGCCCTAAGTAGTGTAAATTCATATAGAAACTGTTCTTTTAAACAGCAAAAATTTGTCATAAATGTACAGTTTATGCTGTACACTCTAAACCAGTGGTTCTAAACTTGTTTTTCCATGGGACCCACATTTTTACATGGTCATCAAGCCGCGACCCAAATTTTTAGAAGCTATAATACAATTTTAGGAATTATAATTTATTTGTGTTTATTTGTTAACATACACAAGTAGTGACAGATAAATCATAAGACATTTACCAAGACTTACAAATAAACACTACTTTATCTCTGTCATTTAACAAAATGGATCAAATTATAGAAATATTACAGAGGGAAAACGTCAAATTCTGTAAACAGTGGTTAGGGTAAGGAAAAGTTCAGTTACCATTAACTAAACTGAACTGTTAATAAAACATTAACACTGATCCTGTTTAACAGAACAAACCAGCAAATTAAAGTAAAAAGATTAAAATAATCATAACCATTTTTATAATAATCACCAGTTATTTGCTCTTCTGCTATTGTGTGGGCTTTCTTGGCCTTTGCTACACGGTGAGCCAACACAATCTCACGGCAATTTGTAACTTTTTCATTTAGTGGCTAATTCGTATGAATTCGTACAATCTGATTCGCACATTTTAGTACGATTTGCTCATCCCCCAATGACGGTTGGGTTTAGGGGTGGGGTTAGGTGCCACGCCTCCTTTTTAAAATCGTACAATTTCGTACGACTGAACTCTGTATGAATTAGCCACTAAACTGGCATACCGTAAAATACTTACGTTTTTTTCGTGAGATCAGACTGGGTGAGCACAGTAAGATGTGAGGAGTGCCTGTTGTTTTAAACATGAAGATGTTCGGCACTTTTGTGATGGCCTCAGCTCTTGGAGTCGTCTTTAAAAGTAGTCGACAGGTTTGTCCTTGCAACTGGGATGTTTGGTTTCTAAATGTCGTATTAATTTAGAAGGTTTCATGCTCTCTTGTGAGGGCACCTCACTACACACTGAGGTTTTAAGCCTTTTTTGTCGTCAATATATGTAAATCCACACTTTACATATTCAGGGTTGTACTTGCGCTTCGACATATTTGTTGCTACATGATAAACGGTACGGTTGTCGCGCACATTTCAAAATAAAAGTCCAATATAAGCAAAATAAGTCAAAAATTAAACTTTTGTTGTTTGTTTGACCACACACTCTCCGACCCAATGAAAATGTTGTCGCACCCACCAGTTGAGAAACACTGCTCTTTTGACCTTATTCTAAAATGTGGAAGTGCGCCTGTTTTCGCGATTGTCTTAGAACTTCCGTTTCAGTCGCCTATGGGAGAAATTACAAGGAATATTAAACGTCAAAAAACGGTCAAACTAGTTGCTCTACAAACAAATGTTTGCATGACTATACAGACCAAATAGAATAATATAACAAGGAAATATCAGTTTGCAACATCAAACAGCGAAACGGGCAGTTTTTAATGTCTAAAAATGAATGGAAGTGACTGAGACCGGAAGTCTCGTGCCAAAAAGATTCAAATGGCAGCGCCCGCTCGTCTGCGGAGAATAAGGTCAATACAATAAAATGACAAAAAGCCATCACAACAAAAAAGCTTTTACTCAACGTATTGTAATGTGTTAATCGAGTTTCAGCTTGTTTTTTAAAGTTATGCAAAGTTTGACGTAATATTTTTAGTCGGTTCGACTGATGTAAGTTGAGATGACTAGAAAATTACAATTGATTCAACTAAAAAATTTAAGGCAGTGAGATTTTTTTATGGCATACATTAGAACAAGGGGTAACACAGTGGCTCAGAGATTAGCACTGTCGCCTCACAACAAGACGGTCACTGGTTCGAGTACCGGCTGGGCCAGTTGGCATTTCTGTGTGAAGTTTGCATGTTCTCCCCGTGTTGGCGTAGGTTTCCTCTAGGTGCTCCAGTTTCCCCAATACAATCTCACGGCAATTCGTAACTTTTTCATTTAGTGGCTAATTCGTACGAATTTGTATGATCTAATTCGTACATTTTAGTACGATTAGCTCATCCCCCAATGACAGTTGGGTTTAGGGGTGGGGTTAGGTGCCACACCTCCTTTTTAAAATCGTACAATTTCTAACAACTGAACTCGTACGAATTCGTACGAATTAGCCACTAAACTGCCAAATATACTTACGTAGTACGAGAATACTTACGTTTTCTCGTGAGATCAGGCTGGTTTCCCCCACAGTCCAAACACATGCACTATAGGTAAATTAGGCTGTAGTGTATGAGAGTGTGTGAGTTTGTATAGGTGTTTCCCAGTACTGGGTTGCAGCCGGAAGGGCATCTCCTGTGTAAAACATATGCTGGATAAGTTGGCAGGTCATTGGCGACCCCTAATGAATAGAGGGACTAAGCTAAAGGAAAATGATTGGACGCATGAACATTGAATCAAGTTAATGCAAAGATTTTCATAAACGACAAGTGTTGAGGTGTAAATCACTTAAAAAAGTGATCTAAAAGACTGAAAACGACTGACGCCATGCTTCTGTTTTGCAGTTTTACATTTAATTAAAACCTCTTAGCATTTGCTTCATCGTCTTAATTACAGTGACACTCAAGCTGACAGATAGCAATACTGTTATTTTCAGATTTCGGTCTTTAAGATATCATAACGTGTTCATCATCAGTATGGTTGCAATGTGCTCTGTTTTTTTCACCAGACCCACATCCTTACAGCAGAAAGGTGTTGATTGAGCTCTTCACACACACATTCAGAGCTTTGCGTTGTACTTTCTAAACGCTCTCTGTGTGATTGCAGAGACTGAATGCAATTATAATTTCATTTCCTCTGTTACATGTGGAGACAGATCTGTAGCATATCCGCCATATACATCTGAAACTTCAATAATCATCACGCTTTGTGAGAGAAACCCAAATCAACGTCTGAAATCACCCTCATGTCCCTCAAACTGTTACAGTCAGAATTATTATCCCTCTTTTAGTTTTTTTTATATTTCCTTAATGATGTTTAACAGAGCAAGGAAATTTTCACAGTATGTCTGATAATATTTTTTCTTCTGCAGAAGTCTTATTTGCTTTATTTCAGCTAGAATAAAATCAGTTTTTACTTAAAAAAAAACATTTTTATGGTTTCCTTTTATAGATCACTTGCCCTCACATGTGAGGGAAATAGTTTTGTGTGTTAGGTTTTTGTTTTGTAGAGGAGGGTGGTCAGAGGCTCAGAGAATGGTCTTTTGTTATTTTTGTTGTTTTTTTTTAGCTTCTTTTGTTCTGTTCTAATGTTCTTTTTTTCAAATGACATGTCCATATTATTAGGAATGTGCTGTGATGAGGAAAATATATATTTAGTTGTGTGGGCCTTTTCAGGGACTATATGACTAATTGGTTGCCAATATTGATACTTATAGATAGTATGACGTTTCCCTTTTTCCTTTTTTTTTTCCCTTACCTCCATATATCTGCTGGCTTGTTTTTAAGGATTACTACAATTTCTACAATTCTTTGCACATTTTTGTAAAACTTGCCTTTGATTATGTCTGTAAAAGCACATTGTACAATTTTTTGAAAACCTTAAATAAACATGTTTAACTTGGAAAAAAAAAATAATAACATTTTAAGGTCAAAATTATCAGCCCCTTTAAGCTGTATTTTTTTCGATAGTCTGCAGAACAAACCATCATTATACAATAACTCGCCTAATTACCCTAAACTGCCTAGTTAACCTAATTAACCTAGTTAAGCCTTTAAATGTCTCTTTAAGCTGTATAGAAGTGTCTTGAAAAATATTGTTTACTGTCATCATGGCAAAGATGAAATAAATCAGTTATTAAAAATGAGTTATTAAAACTATCATGATTAGAAATGTGTTGAAAACATCTTCTCTGTTAAACAGAGGGGCCAATAATTCAGGGGGGCAATAATTTTGACTTCAACTACACTGCCTGGATTAAATTAAATAAATATTTGGTACATATTTGACCAAAAGTTGGGTTACAACAACCCAGTATTTTTACTGATAGGGTGAATAAATATTGAGCAAATTATTTTATTAATATCAGATATTACAATTTTTTATTAGTTAATTAGCTTTTTTATTTTAATTTAGTTTTGCTTCATATTAAAACTATACACACTACAAATGCTAGATTCAAACATGGATAAACACAACTTTATTTAATTCATTCATTTTCTTGTCGGCTTAGTCCCTTTATTAATCTGGGGTCGCCACAGCAGAATGAACCGCCAACTTATCCAGCAAGTTTTTACGCAGCGGATGCCCTTCCAGCCGCAACCCATCTCTGGAAAACATCCACACACACACTCATACACTACTGACAATTTAGCCTATATCCAATTTGCCTATACCGCATGTCTTTGGACTGTGCGGAGGAAACCCATGCGAACGCAGGGAGAACATGCAAACTCTACACAGAAACGCCAACTGAGCAGAGGCTCGACCCAGCGACCTTCTTGCTGTGAGGCGACAGCACTACCTACTCTACCACTGCTTCGCCCACTTTATATAATTATTAAATTATATTTAAAATACACTTTTAACCCAACAGTCCATATTTGACCCAATGTTGGTTTACAAGCAAACATTTTTAATGTAAACTAAATAATTATTGAGCCAATTATGTTATTAATATCAAATATTACTATTTATTTATCAGTCATTTTGCTTTGCAGCCTATTTTAATTGAATTAAAATCAATATAAGATATACAATCGAAACAAATTCTAGATTAAAACGTGGACAACTCAACATTAATTAATTTTAATTGAATTTAAATGACGAAACAAACACGTGGATTGATCCACATTCGCCCCAATGCTGCTTTACAACAACCCAGCGTGTTTTTTTTAGTGTGGAATTCACCACCACACAGCATGACTGCATCCGAAGTGAATTACCTGGGGTGTGAAGCTGAAAGGAAACTATCTGCATATCTCACACAGGATTAAAAACGCCTTTATTGGCGTCAATCTGAACGTGACACACACTTTGCCAAGTGCAGCGCGCGCGCACACACTCGCCATAAGCTCGCGCCGCTAACCTCAATAACACACACACACACACATACACTCTCTCTCTCTCTCTGCCATAGGCTTACATGACAACACTTTATATCTCCATCTGTCGCCGAACGGGACCCGTATTTCAGGTTTATTGAACTTTAGCTCCCAGATGAAGGCAAAGTAGGAGGGATGCGCTGCTGTGCACGCGAGAGAATGAAGCAGGAGTAACTCCGGGATGGTTTGGATGTAAAACACTGAAGGTTTGATGATCATCTGCTGCTGACTCGTGTTGTGTTTTCATGAGTTTGGAGCTCATTTCTCCTCGCGCGAATCCTTTACCGCACACGCTGGACTGTCGACGCGCAAACATGCGTTTGTTGGTTGGATTTGTTTTGTCAACTTTTTGTCTTTGGGATTTAGCGTCGCTTTCTCGCGTTTACACCAATCACTGGGCTGTTCGGATACCCGGAGGAGCGGGACAAGCTGATGAACTCGCCTCGAAATATGGCTTTACTAATTTGGGTCAGGTAAGAGACTGTTTTTATCCGTTTGTTTAATTTGAATGGCTCAGACGGTGCGCTGTTAGTTCACGAGGACTACAGCCTACCGCATCAATGGTATGAGAGCACAAGTCGGATCATGCGTAAATTACGCAAACGCTTACATTCTGCTCACTTTTTCTTCTACTTGAGGGTTTACAGACTACAATTAGCGTTGTTCTTTTGAAAATACTTCTGCACGTAGCGGTTCGCAGTTTTAATCGGAACAGGCAGCGATAATCGTCGTGCTAAAATGTAAACAACCCGGTGCTAGAACCGTACAGAGAGTTGTTTAGCAACAGTCAACCAATCATCGACTGTTTCAAAGCTTGGCTGATTTAGTGTTCATAAGTGAAGTCTCGCAGTACAGGATGAGTGGAAACTTTCACGCTGTAAAATATTATCTAATTCGAGTGAGGAAGAGATGATTAGCCTATGTATTTGTTGACAATTTTACAAGATGTCAGTGTATGTTAAATTGTCTATTATTGGTCAGTATTGCAAATTATTTTTATTTATTTATTTTTTAAATTTTTGCATTTTGCGTTTACAAATCTCGGAACTTTGCAAAAATGCAAGATAAATTGCGATTAAAAGGGTAATTTACACAAAAATAAACATTCTGTCATGATTTGCTCAGCCTTTACTGTTCAGCAAGTCAAAAATTCATAGAGTGAGGAAGAGATGATAAGCTTAAATAAGTTTTTCTTGACAATTTTACAAGGTATCAGTGTAGTTTAAATTCTCTATTATTGGTCAGTCTACCTCGTTTTGCAAATTATTTTTGTTTATTTTGCATTCACTAAAAAATTAATTGGAAATCGCCAAACTTTACTTCACAAACACGCCAGATAACTCGAGATTAAAGGGATAGTTCACATGAAAATACACAATCTGTCATCATCTGCTCAGCCTTTACTGTTCAGCAAGTCAAATGTTCATTAATTCGAGTGAGGAAGAGACGATTAGCCTAATTATGTTATAAATAACAATTCTACAATATATCAGTGTATTTTAAGTCATCTATTTATGGTCAGTGCTGTTAATCTTTATTTATTTATTTATTTTTACATTTACACATTAATAATTGGAAATCTCGAAATTTCGCAAACACGGCAGATAACTCGAGATTAAAGGGATAGTTCACACAAAAATACTCATTCTGTCATGATTTGCTCAGCCTTTACTGTTCAGCAAGTCAAATATGTGTCGAGTGAGGTGGAGATGATTTGCCTAATTGTGTTTTTCTTGGCAATTTTACCAGATATCAGTGCATTTTAAATGGTCTACTATTGGTCAATATTGCTAATTATTTTTATTTATTTATTTTTGCATTTACAGACGATTAATTGAAAATCTCCAAACTTTACTTCGCAAACACGCCAGATAACTCGAGATTAAAGGGATAGTTCACACAAAAATACTCATTCTGTCATCATTTGCTCAACCTTTACTGTTCAGCAAGTCAAATATGTGTCGAGTGAGGTAGAGATGATTTGCTTAATTATGTTTTTCTTGGCAATTTTACAAGATATCAGTGCATTTTAAATGGTCTACTATTGGTCAATATTGCTAATTGTTTTTGTTTATTTATTTATTTTTGCATTTACAGACAGCTAATTGGAAATCTCTAAACTTTTCCTTTCTGAACACACCAGATAACTTAGGATTAAAAATACACATTCTGTCATCATTTGCTCAACCATTCCTGTTCAGCAAGTCAAATGGTCTTTAATTTGAGTGAGGAAGAGATGATTAGCCTAATTGTGTTATAAATGTCAATGTTATAAGATGTTCAGTGTATTTTGAATCGTCTATTATTGGTCAGTATTGTTATTTATTTATTTATTTATTTATTGCATTTACATATGAATAAGAGGAAATCTCGAAACTTTGCTCGGCAACACGCCAGATAACTCGAGATTAAAGGGATTGTTCACACAAAAATACTCATTCTGTCATGATTTGCTCAGCCTTTACTGTTCAGCAAGTCAAATATGTGTCGGGTGAGGTAGAGATGATTTGCTTAATTATGTTTTTCTTGGCAATTTTACAAGATATCAGTGCATTTTAAATGGTCTACTATGGGTCAATATTGCTAATTGTTTTCATTTAATTTTGCATTTACAGACGATTAATTGAAAATCTCCAAACTTTACTTCGCAAACACGCAAGATAACTCGAGATTAAAGGGATTGTTCACACAAAAATACTCATTCTGTCATCATTTGCTCACCCTTTACTGTTCAGCAAGTCAAAAGTTCCTGGAACGAGGAAGAGATGATTAGCTTAATTGTATTTGTTAACATTTTTACAAGATAACAGTGTATTTTGCATCCTCTATTATTGTTCAGTATTGCTAATTATTTTTGTTTGTTTATTTATTTTTACATTTACGGATGATTAATTGGAAATCTCCAAACTTTACTTCACAAACACGCCAGATAACTCGAGATTAAAGGGATAGTTCACATGAGTATACACATTCTGTCATGATTTGCTCACCCTTTACTGTTCAGCAAGTCAAATGTTCGTTAATTCGAGTGAGGAAGAGATGATTAGCCTAATTATGTTATAAATGTCAATTTTATAGTTTCCCAGAGATGGGTTGCGGCTGGAAGGGCATCCGCTGCGTAAAAATGTGCTGGATAAGTTGGCGGTTCATTCCGCTGTGGCGACCCCGGATTAATAAAGGGACTAAGCCGACAATAAAATTAATGAATGAATGTCAATTTTATAAGATGTCAGTGTATTTTGAATAGTCTATTATTGGTCAATATTGCAAATAATTTTTATTTATTTGTTTATTTTTGCCTTTACAGACGATTAATTGGAAATCTCCAAACTTTATTTCACAAACATGCAAGATAACTCGAGATTAAAGGGATAGTTCACACAAAAATGCACCTTCTGTGATCATGTAATCATTCTCGTTCCAAACCTTGACGAGTTTCTTTCTTCTGTTGAACACAGAAGAAGATATTTTGAAAAATGTTGAAAACCTGTAACTATTGACTGCTATAGGATTTGTTTTTTTTCCTACAAAGAAAGTTAATGCCTACAGCTTTTCAGCTTTTAATAATATATTCATTTTGATGTTCAAGAAACTCATGAGTACGCTTTCATTTTTGGGTGAACTATCCCTTTAACCCCTGATTAAAATGACTATGTTTGAATGTGCTGTAACCTGTAAGCAAATGGTTCTCAGTAGAGGGTGTGAACTGAACACTGAGATCCCATCAAAACAAATCAGTTTATTGTGCAAAATGTATACTGAATCAAAAATGCAGTTGAGGAACACTAATTAAATGGAGAAACAAACTGTACAGTTCGTACTTTGACGCTGGCTGAATAGAAAAAATTCAATTGTTCTTTTGTGTTTTGTTTGGTGCAGCGGCTAATAATAAATCACAGATAGTGATTTGTAGCCCAAATCATGCGAGTGCAGCGGTATAAATGAAACCGGATAGTGCTGCACAGTTTTATTGATGTGTCTTTAGGCACACGGAGATCAAGCAACCTGTACTTATGTAACTCCGTAGATATATTAGATTGATGAAATGTCATGAAGTTTGATTATTATTATTATTATTTTGCTTTAAGTTTTTTTAAAGTTCAAACTTATTCATGCTGCAATCCTAGTTATGCACAATCATACATGTTCTTGCCTTTTTAAAGCTTCTATCTCTATATGTTACTCATTTGACAATGTATATGCATGTGTGTGTGTGTGTGTGTGTGTGTGTGTGTGTGTGGACACTACCTTACAAAAGACTTGTCGCCTATCCAAGTTTTAGGAACAACAAATAATAACTTGACTTCTAGTTGATCATTTGGTATCAGAAGTGGCTTATATGAAAGGCAAATGCCTCTAGATTACGCTTATTTTACCAAAATAAAATATGATCATGCCTTGATTTTTAATTATTTAATTAGGACAGTAAGGTCTGACTTTGCTTAGACAAAAGTCGTGTCACTTAACAGAAATAATGTCCAGTATAGAATATAAAGTCATGCTGCAGTGGAAACTGAATGAATATTGTGTCTGACTCCATCATGGGTTTGGAGGACTGCATCCATACATCTCTGACATGACTCAAATCACTGATTAATGAAGTCATCTGGAATGGCAAAGAAAGCGTTCTTCCAGCGTTCTTGCAGGACTCCCTCTTTGGATTCCTTTTCAATGCCTCTTCCTTCATCTTACCCCAGACGTTCTCAATAATCTTCATCTCTGGTGGCTGGTCTGGCCAATCCTGGAGCACCTTGACCTTCTTTGCTTTCAGGAACTTTGATGATGAGGCTGAAGTATGAGAAGGAGCGCTATCCTGCTGGAGAATTTGCCCTCTTCTGTGGTTTGTAATCTAATGGGCAGCACAAATGTCTTGATACCTCAGGCTGTTGATGTTGCCATCCACTCTGCAGATCTCCATACTGAATGTAACCCCAAACCATGATTTTTTTCTTCACCAAACTTGACTGATTTCTATGAGAATCTTGGCTCCATGCTTGTTCCAGTAGATCTTCTGCAGTATTTGTAATGAGATATATATATATATATATATATATATATATATATATATATATATATATATATATATATATATATATATATATATATATATATATACTTATTTAACCAAGAAAGTCCCATTGAGATACAATATCTCTAAACCAGGGAGTCCTGGTCAAGACAGGCCGCATAGGAAAGACATGGGCGAATTTACTAATTTGGGACAATTCCAGTCGAAGGGCCCAAAAGTCCTAAAATGCACTCTTGCACTTTTATTATCTTAATGCAATCTCTACCTTTTAAATGATTTGTTTTCTTAAAATTAATTCATAATAAATAAACTATTTGGTTTTAAAACAAAATCTTTTGCTGATTTAACCGCGGGACTCTCCATGATTGGGGGTAAGGGACAAACTTGCATGTATAACAATTAATGTTAAAATTGTAATTATTAGACCCTAACCATACAGAATTT